GTGCAGGCCAGCTATATGCATGCCTGCCCCTTCTCCACGGACTGGGCATCTTGGTCCTCTTTGTCAACCATCATGCTCTCATCCACATAGAAGCTGGTGCAGGCGCTGTCTGGCCAGCCAGGTAGGTGCGAGGCACAGGTGACTGAGCATTGCCCAATACGGGGTCCAGCAGGGTCTTGCTCAGGGTGTAAGGCCACTGTCTGTCCTTTGTCTGCAGAGCTGCTTCCTCCTCCTGAGGCCTCTGCGGCAGCTGCTGCTCAAGTGTTTACATCATCTTGGGATCCTGACATTTCCTTTTCTCCTCCTTTGTCCGTGTTTTTCTTTTTTCTCCCCCCTCCATGTCTGCCACTCAGGCGTTCAGCCACGCCCCTCCGGGCCAGAGGCAGCTTCCCCACTCGCTCTGCCCTATTCCTCGGTCGAATCCATTATTGATGAACATTTGGCTTGTTTCCATTTTAGATCCAGAACAAGAGTCAGCAAAAAAACATTTCTGTGCAAAGGTCAAGCACTAGAATGGATGGTGATGGCACAGCTCATTTTAAAGGCAATTTAACCATGGGGGTGGGTGGGTTGGGGGGGTGCTCTAAGATCGATGTGGTGGTGGCTGCACAAGGTCCCTTATGGGTCACAAATGGCTCGTTTTTTACATGTATGTATATATGTAGAGGTGCAACCATTTATGTGGTGGTTCGGTGCTGACAAGATGGCTCTGGCTCAGTGACCTTATGTACAACAGAACAAGACACTGCCCAGATCACTGGGGAGCCCCTCACGGCAGCCGTTGTGTCAAGCCACCTCCCTTGAGGGCCTTCCTCCTTGGCGCTGCCCTGCTACTGCACCAAGCATGCGGTCCTTCTCCAGGGACTGGGCTCTCCTGACCACCTTCCACAGTACATGAGACGAATCTCGCCATCCTTGCCTCTAATGAGCACTCTGGCTGTACCTCCAAGAGAGCTGCTTGCTATTTTGGCAGTGCAAGGTACTTGCACAATTCTTGGCCAGCACCATAGTTCAAGTGTATCCACTCCCCTTCGGTCGTCCTTATTCAGTGTACCACTTTCACATGCCTGCGAGGCGAGTGAAAATACCATGGCTGGGGCCAGGCACACCTCAGACCTCAGTGGGCCCTGCGTGCTTTTCAATATCCTTCAAATAGGCCTTCTGAGGGAGATCTGGCCCATACAATGTGCCATTTGATCTCTTGACTGCACATACTCTCTCAGGACCACACAAAAACAGCTTCGCGTCACTGTGTGCTGACCGACCCCTGATCTGGA